CAGAACATTGATCGTTAGTAAAACAACAAATGATAACATTATAAATTGACTTGCGAAGAGAGTATGTCTGTATGTGAGAGAGAAGAGGGCAAAATGATGGTCATTTTATCTCTGGGAACACCTTTCCACTGTCCCCTGAACATCACCGTTTGTTTTTTTTGTTCCAAGTCGAATGACAAGCATTTATTATAGACTGGATCTATGATTTGCTCATTTTTTAGTCTCAAATTATGACAAATTGTGTTTGTTTATGTATAGGGCTTAATTGTAAATTACACAAAGAGAAACTAGCAAAATATATACCAACCACTCCAATAGGCTCATACAAAACGGGGTTTAATATAAATCTAATAATGTTGTAGTTGAATAGTTGGTAGTGTTATAACATAAATGTGTATATATATGACATACAAACTTGCAACATAACAAAAACCAAAGCTTAAAGTAAATACTTAATTATGTTTTTATTAAGCTTCAATCATGTAATACTTGTGACCTAACTAGACCATATGACCATGCAAAACGTCTCTCGAGAATACACATTCCAAAATCATATAAATGTACATATACAACTGTGAGATTTTAAACCATATAAATATAATAAGGTTGCATCAAATATATATATAGGAACATATTTTTAGCTATGGAATCATTCAAGCCTTTAGCAGCCGTTCTTGGTGTCTTTTTCCTAGCCATAACTGCTATAGAAAACGGACTGGTGGTTCAAGCCCAAGAATGTGGCAACGATCTAGCAAATGTTCAGGTATGTGCGGCTATGGTACTGCCTGGTTCAGGCACCCCGAATTCCGAGTGTTGCGCCGCACTCCAATCTACTAACAAAGATTGTCTTTGCAACGCTCTTCGCGCAGCCACCTCTCTTCCTTCGCTTTGTAACCTTCCTGCTATCAATTGCGGTACATATTTATTTTTCTTACCATCTAGTAGTATTAAACATTTGGTCCATTCTAAGATCAAAATCATTTTTTTTAGCTCTAGTTAACTTGGCTACTTAATGTGTTTCTTCAATAATATATAGACTTGTATATTTCAATTTTGTTTCTGATGTTTTTGTTTTGTTACTCTGTGTTGTGCAGGCATAAATGCTTAGTTAAGCCAAGAGTCCGTTCCGAGATGATCGAGAGGAATGGAATAAATAAAGAATAATGTTAAGTAGTTAAGCTTTATTTTTATTTTTTATATAACCTATAGTTCTGCTAATTTTGCTTGGAAGTTTATACACTACTGTTATCAATAAAGCTTTGCTAATTAATTATGAGCATAAAACTCTCCCTGAATGTGTTTACTCGTTTGCGTAAGTCTAATTATCGGAAATAATTAGATGAGTGGCTTGTTTGATATGCATGGGAAATTATTCAAGTTTTTTGTTTGTTTGTCAAGAAGCTAATACGACTATATGCTCGGAAGTCTATAAACTGCACCTTACACTAGTGCTGAATACGACTTCAGGATAGTATTTATGAGGGGTACTAGACGATCGTTCTCACATCTAGTAGTGTTAATTTGGAATATTCCCTATTATTGACCTTTTCATAGACTTGCTTTCTATACTGCATCCTAGTGAATAATAATTGCTACACAACTAAACAGATGATTTAACCAGGGAAAAAACTTTCAAAGTTGGGTTGATAATAATAATATACTCTTATTTTTTGTCCAAGAGTTTGAATATGAATCTAAGAGCATTGCCTTAGTGTGTTTTGACTAAAGAAAAAATTGTCATGGATCAAGATCACAGCCATGGATACAATTTCATCATTTACAAAAAAATCTCTATGATTTCTTATTGGATTAAATGACAAAATATTCAATATTTTCTAAATTTTAGAGATTTGTTAGGAATGCAGCAGTATAGAAGCTATGGTCATTACTAAAAAGTTGAAAATGCCACCACAATAACAAGCATGTTACATTATTATATGGTCATGGATAAAAGAAAATACATATCTTACACACAAATTTTTTTTTTTTTAAACTGATGTCAAGAAAGAAAAATTGCAAAATAAATATGATTTATATGCCCTACAAAAATTGTAAAGTTTGCATCCATTGGAGGAAAAGAGAAAGATAAAAAAGCCGAAGCATAGTGCCAGAAGTTACAGACACTAGACTACAGTGAATTATGGGCTTCAAAGAATGACACGTCCTCCCAATTATTCTTTTTATTTTAATTCTTTTCAAGTTCTCTATTTAATTCAAAAATATTATAATATTCACATTACAACAAAAATATATGTAAATAAATAAAAGAATGACGTCGTTAATATTAATGATTTGAACCAAACCACAGATTCGGTACGGTTAGTAGTAGTCAGGCCCATTGACTTTAACCAAAAACACCTTTTGATAAACGCGTGTCACACACGCGCTACAGTTACGCGCGTGGAAGCGTACTCTGCAGCCATCTATATAAGCCGTTAAAAAACCAACAAATGAAGAAGTGATAGAGACTAAACCGGAGAAAATCTCCGACCAAAAATCGACGGCGATTTTCCGACGATGAACGATGGGCTTTTTCGGGAGACTATTCGGGAGTAAAAAGCGCGGTAATTCAGCTCCGACGAGTGATAAACGGAGATGGAGCTTCACCACTAGATCCTCTAATCCGGTGAATTCGAATTCCAGCAAGAGACGTTCGTGTCCGACGGAGGAGGAGGAAGAAACCGGTTTAGATGCCGATAAACATGCCATTGCCGTGGCGGCTGCTACTGCCGCGGTGGCGGAAGCTGCTTTAGCTGCTGCTCATGCGGCGGCGGAAGTCGTGAGACTCACCGGCGGTGGTGGAAATTCGTCGGTGTTTCAAATCGGAGGGAGTAATCGCCGGTGGGCTCATGAGTATTTAGCGGCGGTGAAGATTCAGTCATCTTTTCGTGGTTATCTGGTTAGTTAATTCCTCACTATAGAATGATGTTTTGAATTATTTCAAAATTTTGAATCTTGAAACTGTTCTTGCCTCAGTTAATCATTTAGCTGTCTGAAATTTGGGTTTTTGTTTTCTTTCTAAAATTCTCATTTCCAAATTCAATTTTTTTTTGTTTTCTACCTGCAAATTTTTAAAAAATGGAAACTATGGGCATG